ATTTGAACTTTCCACAGGGTTTCACATCCAATTCATAGCCCTGTAGGTTACAGAAGTAAATTTTATTAAAATTTGCCTCCAGCCTGACTCAAACTATTAACCTAGCCTGTAGGGTTTGGGAGCTTAACCGCTAAGCTATGATACCAAACTCTAAAAATGCTTCTTACTTATGTCAGTTTAATTATTCAAATAATACTTTATTGATTAAATTTAAACTATACATCTTTTATCTAATTTCGTTTTTATCTCTAGTACGGATGTTTATTAAAGATAGACTATTCAAGTCCATGGAGGGATCACAATTATTTGATAGTTACCAAGTGAAACATGGAATGCATATTCCATTTCTATTTTATATTTTGAGTCATAAATATTTGCTACATTATTTAATTTTATTTTATGAGCATATAAAGAACATTTATTAATCTAAATGTTTAAAAGTGTTTACTATTTAATTTCATTTTGTCAATATTAAATTGGTGCGCGAGCATTAATCTAAGTATTTAAATAAGATTTAAGTTCAAAAAGTTCATGATATTTATTATTTAACTTCATTTTATTCGCATTAATTAGTGAACATAAAAAATTTTGATTTAATTTAAGAACCAAGCAAATAAAGTAAATAATTAAAATGAAAATGTAAAACATACAGTTTGAAAAATGTGCTCATTATAATGAATATAACAAGAACAAAGTATGGCTTTAAGATATTTAACCCTGATATAATAATTGTTAAAGAATACGCAAGTGAAAATGAGGATATTTATGATTGCATAAAATGGTTTCAATTTAGAATCACTCATATGGACTGATTTATGGATTACATTCGATAGACTAAGCAATATTAAAACTAGTAAATGAAACCTAATCGGATAGTATGCAAAAATCATTGCCAAGTGAGAATTCATAAAATTTTCGTGATAAATATTATCACATAAATTTATCTAATATCATTGTGCTTAAGGCTCTATTGCCAAGTTGATAATTAATAAATTTAAAAATCAATACACTATTTTACAAAGAATTTGCTGTACCTTTACTCTCAAAACTAGTTTAATTATTCCAAAGATTTAAAAAAGTCAAATTAATATTTCAGTAAAAAGTTTTATTATTGTCATGCATGAAGTTAATACCCACCTAATATTACAATTGTGATCGTAATTAACTGACTAAAAGTAGCCTCTGAAAGTAGGTCGTTTTGCACATAGCTGGTAATTTTATGCAGGTGTAAATCAAATACTTACATTTCTAACTTTAGTAGGAAAATGCTAGCTTCAGTTGCGACATTGTCATTTTTTAATTGTTTAAAACTAAACCTATTGGAATAATATGACGATCCATATTTTTGTGCTCACTTCGCGTGATATTACCAAACTTTAAAATTTATATGAACGTGTTAATTCAATGCATACTTAATAGACTGGGCAATAAAATAATGAATTGGCTTTCTAAAAAAGTTATAATAGTTTTTCTTAGAAACAAAGTATTAACACGGCATTTCTTTGCCAATTATTTTAAAAACTGTAACTTTATTTAACTCCCCGATATATCTTTGGACCTTGTTATAAATTAACAATAATATAACAGGCAGCTTTGCTGCTTATATGTTTATGTAATAATAATAATTAAAAAGGGACATAGAATTTTGAACCCAATAACATATAATAAATTCGCCAATATAAGTAATACAAAGTGGAGTTATTTCAGGACGCACATGAGTATTATTTTAATAAAAATATGGTTTTTGAAATAAAGTTCACTAGCATTATTTCACAACTATACAGTAAGAAATCATTATGCTTTAATAAAAAGTTTTTATTGGGCAATTTTACAATATACTTTGCAACAAATAACCCTAAAATTTACTTAAAATGAACAATTTTGGCATTAGTCACATGTAGATAAAAGTTTTATGGTGTTACAAAGGAAGATTATCGCAGTATTGTACATATATGAAACCAGTGATGGCATATTGCCATTTAAAAATAAATGACATCTTGTCATATGACAAGTCATTTTTGTCATAAAAAATCATTTATTTTTTTATGACTATCATGTCATTTATAGTTAATAAATGAATTTTTATTAACCAACTAGCAATGTTATATTTGCAGTTTTGAATCACATTGTTTAAATTGTGATATATATTCAATTAAATATAGTTGTATACTAGAATTGATTAAAAGTATATGTTGTGATTTGGCACTAGTTAATAATTTTTTTGGTCAAGTCGACAAGTTGAGGCGAAGCACAAATACTATTTTATAGGATACAAGAATAATCGATGGGTAGTAATCATTCATGTTTTATTTTTATAACTGGTAATTAGGAAATGATCATGTGTGTAGCTTTGCTGCCCATAATATACCAAGATAATATATTTGTTTGTTTTAATCTTACTTTTATTTCGGAAAGAAATTTTTCTTACTGCTATTGTCATAATTTCTGAAACACCTGATAATATATAGTTATTTGATGCGAAGCATCCAATAACTGGAGTTATTTGGCATGCTGTAACAATTGCATCGTGATCTGTGTGATCATGATTTTATTGTTATACATGACAAATAATGTGAAATATTTTGCATAGAATTTGATCGAGAGATGGCTGGGCCCTGCAGAGGCCTAGCCATCGACCAGTCAAATTTCACACAAAATACGTCAGTTATTGGTGCAGAGTATTTAATAATGGTATTATCCGGCATCCTATGACGATTGGTACCAACTCGCTATGAAAATTAAACTCAAATTAATATAAACAATAAATTAAAATTTTTATATAACTTTTTTTTTTACGCTTGGCTTTTTTTCTCTTTACTTTTGACTTTTTTTACTTACAATAAACAAATCCATTTTCTGTTAAATCCAAAAATAAAAAAAAGATAACAAATTATTAATAAACTAAATATCACAAGCCAACAAGTGACAAAATAAATGAAATTATCAAAAGTACAATTTCTACAAATACTCAAAAAGCAACAGCGAAGCAGTTTAGAATTTTAAAGCTCAACAGCCTAGTGTTGATTACAATTATGATGTTGAATTTATTATGAACGAGTATTTAAATTGTATAAACAAGTTCTAAACGAACATGATAAATTTTCAAGTAATTCTCAAGAACAAGTAACAATCAACAATAATCAAAAACAATCTTTACTAAACATATAATTTCAATAGCATTAAAGTCTTTATCTTTGCATTATTTTGTTAAAGGTTCTTCAAAAGTAAATTTTTTATCATATCATATTCAAACTATCAGAATAAAAACCAACTATCATATTTAGAATTATTATATCACATTTAATTTAACTTTTATTAAGTTCTTATTATTATAATATGAATTTAAGTAAAGATCACAAAAAAAAAAAAAAGAGAGAGAATTAGTTTGTATACTGTAATTAAAATATAATAAATAATAACAGAATAAATAAATAACAATTAAATAATGAATTAAAAAAGTTACTTGGTCAAAACAAACTGTGAAAACTATTTTAAATATATCATATACCAAATAACCTGAATTATTTGGTGAACCCAATCATAGTAGGATGCCAGATAATATATAGTATTGGATGTGAAGTAGCCAATAATAGGAGTTATTTGAAAAATACTCTATTATCTGGTTTTAAATTCAATGTGCTGGCTTTTGGGCCCCACAGGGTCCCAGAATAATACGTTAAATTTAAAGTCAGATAAATAAGTTATTGGCTGCATAGCATACAATAACAGTATTATCTGGTGGTTTATAATAATTGTGCTTGCTAAATAACTTGAGTTTTTGTTAGTGATTACATAAGCTGCTAAATAATGATGTTATTTGGCAGATGATGTAATCACTGACTAAATAACTCGAGTTATATGACATGTCCTATGTGTGCACTGAATGTTTTTTGTATATATTATTTGATTACTTTCTAATCATGTGATAGCTCAATTTTTTGATCACTTTTCTGATTTTATTTCTTTTTGCGTAAGAAGCTGTGAAACTTGTATAAAACTTATAATATGAAAGTTAAGAAAAAAAAATTGAGTGAAGAAAAAAAAAACAAAGATAAAAAGAAAAAATAGTGAGCGAAAGTGAAAAGTATGTGAAAATAAAGAAAGAGTAAAAGTGAGTTAAATGATTAGAAAATCGAATAATATATATGAAAAACAACAGTGCTTACATCAGACATTATGGATAAAAATGTTATCAGTTAAGTTGCAGCCGATAAATTTAATTATCGTTGGGATTTATAACGTGAAACATGTGCTGCTTTGCAGCACATGCTTCACATTATATCCCGACGATAATTAGTTATCGTATACAACCTAACCAATAACAAGTACTTATTTTGGCTGCACTATCATAGTAAACTGACGGATAAAAAATAGTTTTGGCCGATTTGGTTAAGTTATTATCTCATCATAATAGATTCAAGAAAATTACAAAATTGTACGTATGCATGTATGTACGCATGTACGTACATACATACGTAACTTTTGCATTAAATAGTGCTGATTATTGCAATAGCATTTGGGCTTAAGAATATTTAGTATTAATATTATTGTCATTTTAATGTTATTTATAAAAATATTTTTTATGACTTGTCATTTTGCCATGGGTTTGTATAAAATTTTTTTATAATAAATAACATTGTCATTTTAAAATGACATGTCATTTACGGTTATTTTCATAAAAATTTTTATGACTTTGTCATTTGCCATCACTGCATGGAACAATTGGAACAGATTTGGGACAAAATTGAGGTTTAAAAAAACTCAAATAAAATAAATAAATAAGTTTAAAAACATACGACAAACCTAATGAATAGCAAACTAAAAATTTGTCGGTTACCCAACAAATAAACTAAAAATAAGGATGACTAAGAAGCTATTTATACAGGGTCTTTAAATATATGTAGCTTTTAAACAAAAGAATATGCAAATTTAGCAATTAATAATCGATTAATAAAAAATTTGAACCGATTTTTTTTTAAATTCACAATAACTGCACAAGCATGAATGATATGTTTGAACAAATAAAGCGAAATTTGTTTTTCAAAAAAAAAAGGGCTTTAAAAAATCATGGTAGAAAATATGGGATTAAAAAAATGATTTAGGTACAGTCGGAAGTGCAATCATAATTTAAACCAGTTTGAGTACAACTTGTGCAAGTGACGTTGCAAGTAGACCCACAATTAAAGTTGCATGAGAAGGGAGGAGTTCCACAATTAGCAGAAGATAGTTGCCCATTACAATTAAAACTATCACTTAAAAAAGTACAAGACGTAGTATTAGCCGTGCAGCTTCCACATTTTGCTGTACAAGGGAGGGTACCTGTACAACCAGTAGTGATAAATTGAAGGGAATTTATAAACGAATATGCCGGAGTGACGGTAAGATAAATGACCATGAGAGTCAAAAAGAGACTAAAAGCTTTAGAATTCATTATCTAAACATCAAATACATAAACTAGTGCCATTACAAGAATATTAATATATCATCTAGAACAGGGCAATTTTGAAATTATGAATCACTCACTGTTGAAATTACGAATCGTTTTGCTTTATTCCGGTACTGCAATAGCAGACAAAGATTTTTTGTTTTTTTGTTGCTATGGCAATGCAAGAACCATTATATGATGCTTAGCATTTATAAAAACTTCATGATAACTATTATCGATTCTCTGTAACTGAGAGATTTGCTATGTTTACTATATAAGATCTTTCTCATTCGTTATTCCCTTAAGTGAGATAAATTAGTTCGACTTGTTACTGTAGTATATGGGATCTTTGCTAAGAAAATCACCCTTCGACATTTTCCGATTCGGACAAATTTTAACCAACATTCTGGTACTTACTTGCATGTAAACAAAAGTTCATTCGATAAGCTATTGAATCAATAAAGGTAAGAAATGATTTATATGTAAATAAGAACCGGTATGTTGGTCTAAAATGTTCCAAATTAGACCGATCGGAAATGTCGAAGGGTGAATTTCCTAGCAAAGATCCCATATGTTGCCTAATCAGAAATAATAATAATTGACATTCAAATACGATTCGGTATAGTATAATTCACATGACCCAATTTATCCCAAATCTTTATCATTAAATATCGATATCCTGTACTTTAATTACCGTATCCACCTTGGCCTATATTATGCCGACATTGGTCTGTTTTACAATAATTGTAGCCTGCATTATGCGCAATAAGTGTGTTTATTTTCAGAGGAATACGGTATTTAAGCCCATGAAAATAATAGACATTCATTTGAAAAGGTCAAAAAATTCAGATTAAATCATATATACATAACACATATTTTAAAAGCACAGGACATTTGTACGTATAGCGGGTTAATTGTATTGTTATAACATATATATATATAATATATAAATACCAGGATTTTACTATAATAGAGATCAAATTTAATTATATTATGAAATAAAATTGAATTAAGAACGTAAATATTTTAGAGTAATTATGGTTCAAGTTTATTGGTAACGTTCTTGATTCAATTCGGGTTGACATGTATATTATCGTTATGTCAAGTAAATTATAATAGGTAAATCAAATGCTGTTGGGTCTAATATGTAATTTTTAGGGTAGATCAATAAAAGTGGGTCAAAATCAAAAACAATTTAGCTGTTTGACTAAATTATATGAGTGATAAAATCATACCTAAAAATATAATGTATCTATATAGTTAGCATCATATAGTCTTCTTTCTTTTGTGCATAGTCCGTTACCTTTCAGTAATACCTTTAAGAGTTTTTTTAAATTATAGATTGTTAATAATCTGATTCCTGCATAATTGAATAGTTTATTTTATCATAAAAAAATATGAAACTATACCTTGACGTTTAATTGAACGCTTGGTAGGCATGGCAAGGACAGAATTGATAATAATTACACTAAATACTAAAACGGTAGCAAAGAATAGATAAAAATTTTTTAACAGCATGTTTGAAGTCAAATTAAATCAAAAAATGGTAAATAGAATGTGAAAGAAAAAGATAAACAGACAGGCAATTTATAATCTTTCAGATATTAGTATTTTTGACGTTGTAATTCATCTACATCTATCACTATACACGAAGATTCTATGCAGTCATTTGGACTGGTTAAAAAATACTTATCTTTTCTTCTTTGGATCTAATAACCCACTGTGCAAGGTTTGTCTGCCATGATCGACAAAATTTATAAAAAAAGTTTGCCTATGAAACTGGGTTTTCGTGCTCTAATAAAAAAAATTTGCAATTTTTGTATGGTTTTATTTTAGGTTCTCTTATAACCGATCACAATCCCAAATTCGCACTGACTTTAAACTAGTTAAATGCAGGTCAATATCAATAAATCTAGACCAAATAATTTGCAAAATCTCATGAGGCTTTGCATTTTGGCAACACGACTTGCTTATGTAATTAATGTCATTAGAGATGATTACGTAGTACCAAATTACACGGCTTGCTTTTGTAAGATGCTGAAAGTGCTGAAAATCTTTCAAATCCATCATACAAAAATATAGAATAAAAATTGAAGGGTGTCTCTAAATGCGTATTTTGATATCTCAAAAAAAAAAAAAAGCATTGCATCAAAAGTAAAATTAAAAGTGGTGTTAAATGTTGAAAGCACTACTAAAAATCCAATTCATCATTGAGAGTTGAAACTATTTTAATAGCCTGGTTGCTATTCTACTCTTTGACATTAACCCACTAAGGTTGTTCAAAAAGCTTTCTTCCATAATTAGTAATAGGAGATCCTAGATTAGGCGTGTTATTGATGATTTGCGTTATCATGATCGGCCGCACAACCCATCATTGACAACACAAATCATCGACAACACAGTTAATCCCTGATAAACCAAGATATCAATAGTACAAATACTCCGAATGTGACGAGAATAACTCGTCTCCTTAAATTATTTATAAAAGCGCCATGACCTCTGATATGCTTTCGACTAAAATCAAGAGACTTAATTCGAAAGTAAACAAAAATCTTTTTTTTTTGATTACGAAAATAAAACCTCATTCATAAAGGCTACAGATTATTTCAACTTACGAAATTTTCTAAATGAAGGGAATTTGAAAATATTTGGATGAGAAACTTCATTCATGCGTAAAAAATCAGGTTCGCAAATACACAAAAAAAGCATCGACACTCGGACAAGATAGTTTAAAGGATATGCAAAAGATACACATCCAGAAGTAGACGTTAAAACGTACAAGATTTCTTCTGTATTTGTTCAAAACACTCGAATACTATTAATCTTTGTATGTGGGAGTTTGCGCATTAAGCCGACATAACCAGTTGATATTCATAACTATTTCGGGTTTAAAGGTTTCTGAAAATCGTTGATTGTCGAATGAACGAGTTAGAGGAACGATCAATACGTAAAGGCGTCAATTCAGAGTACAAATCTACTGTAAAATGCAGGAGATTAAGAAAATTTCCGGCGTAATTTTTTGGAATCGAAAACTTTCCATTACTTGTAGATTAATGAAATATTCGGCTTTACTTATTTGTGTGCCGGTAATACAAACTCCTAAAAAGGAAATAGTGTTACAGCCAAGGGAGAGACTTTGAATCAACGCGGCCAATTCAGTTCAGGGCTATAAGCATTAAATGGGCAGAAGCAAGTGTTTATTTATTTATATGAGACACTGAAAGTAAGCAATTGACTTCTTTATTTATTCTAACGTTCAAGAAATACTCCCAGAGTATTATCCTCTAACCCAACTAATCTAACAAACAAAGAACTAACTAATCGACTCTATCTATTGAAGTACCTAAAAAGACCTTCTATCCTTTTCTCTATTCCCTTTTATACCTTACTCCCTTTGACCATTGTTCAAACGATTACTAATGCTAATGACTATTTAATGACTACATATTTTATGCGCATGCACTAATTACTATGCTGTCACCTTTCCTTGCATAACAGATTGTTTAGTAATTGCATAGTTCCTGAGTCTGTACTAATTACTACATATTACTATCTACCTGCATATTAAAGATGTAATTGTTACACAATAGAGACTCGGTCCCGTAACACATTCCTCCGTTTGAAGGATGAGCTCCCGCGAATCCGCATACAAACAAAAGTTTCCGCTTTTTTTTTTTTTTTTTCAAGCATTCAATCACATGACTTTGATTCAAGTTGACTGTCCACAATTTGCAAACTCTAACTGTATATCAGCAGTTAAGTTATTTTAATTCCATTTTGCATTGTCACGTGTAACCCGAATTAATGTTATTAGCATTACTATTAGTTTTTTTTTTTTTTTTTTTTTTTTAACATTCCATGCAATCACGTGATCCCAATTCACGAGAATTGTTCACACCTTGAAAATTCCAGTAATACCCTAGCAGTTAAGTGATGGTGATTTCATTTGTTTTCATCGTAATACGAATAGTACTAATAAAAGTTTTTTTTTTTTTTTTCATTTCACTATACTAATTCAGTTCAATTCCATCTTTCGGTGTCCTCCAGGATCAAAGACCAGATTGACAAGATCACATGGTGATATCGTTGTTATGGCAATTTTTGTTGAACCGATTCTAAACGGCGGCTTCTCTTCAGGTATGGTTTTAGTACATTTCAGATACCCTTTGATTCTTTCATCGTTATTGTAGTTGTCGCCTACTAACATTTCTTGTTTGTCTTCTTTTAATTCGTTATTCATTTCATCAATACTTTTTCTATTTCGCTCACAATGTCCTTCTGGATCAAATTGTCCATCTGATTTACCACCTTTAATGCTTACTCTATACTGTACATATAATTCACCTCTTTCAGCATAGACCTGATTAAACATTCCTTTGATAAATTTCATTTTATTCGTCTCTTTTTCTTTGCACGTAGTCATCAGAAATTCACTAACTTTTCTTAACCATTCCTCACATTTATGATGTAGGGTTTCTTTTTCTAAGGGTTTTTCAGGTAAAACACTATTTACTTTCTCATCCCAATTATCATCATCAACTAATGTTTCTCTGTCATCTTTGTCTTCATCCATCTTTTCATTATTCAGTTCATCAAGCTTCTGGTAATATGTAAGCATCGTACATTCTTTCTTTTCAAAACTGATTCCATTATGGTCACAAGAATCAAGCATATAACTCATATTAGCAAATGGTGGGTTCCTTAGAATCAATCAGGTATAGGGTTCTTATTTTCTCCAGTGGTTTTTGACTATTTTTTTGAACTCATTAACTCTTTTACTCCAGGATCTGCAAACTTTATCATGACTTTTTCTATTCATTTGTTACGACCTCCAGAATCAAATTGTCTATCCAACTTACTATCTACCGTACTTGTCAAGTTCTATCTATGTAATTCATCCTTTTTGACATTGATCCTTTT